CTAGTTTATTCTCGAGGTAGTAATCTGAGGGTATGGAATGAAGCAAACTTGATTTGCTTGGGAAGCTGATATGAAAGGCTCGAACTTGTTGTACCTACAAAAAAAAAGATCAATGTAAAAATTAATTAATACTCGAAACCTGGATTAAAAAAAAAAGAATTTGTTGTACCTTCGTCCACCATTGACATCAACTACACCGTTCTTGTTAATCCGAACACCTCTGTTGACGACGGGGTCGTACCACTCACACTTGAAGATAACACATTTCAAACTCATACCTGGGAATTGAAATTCATAAATCTCCTGCAAGATCCCGTAGAAATATGTTTCGCCTTTCACACATATTCCATAATTACTTGTAGCCCGGTGTCTACCATAGTCATAGGTATGAAAAGTATAACCTCGGGTGAAATACATCGATGATGCAGTGACCTTTGCAACTGGACCTTGAAGTAATTCACGAAACCATGCGGGATACTCAGTATTGTCATAATCAACCTGCAAAAAAGTAATTAATAGAACTAGACATTAGACTTACTTTGTGGTAATGTATGCATAAAATTTAAGCTATAATAAATACTCGTTTCCTCAACTACTTGATAAAGTGTTGATCTTTTCTTTTGTCTAACTCAGTTGTCGATATACCAGGTATTGCTTCTTCGACTTGAGTCAAAAATTGGCTGTAAAATCATATAGGTTATGTTATTTATATTGGAATATATATAAGTGTGTATGTTTATATATTTACCTTTCAAAATAACCAATCAGTGGATGCTCGCAATTAAGAAGAATATAAAGGTGTGCACTATGGACATCTTCATCACTCGACCACCAAACCTCTTTCAATTTCCCACCCAATCGCCTAATTTGAAAAAAGATGTCTGGAACATTGTCTTCCATATATGTCGGCACGACACCACCATCATCATATCTTCTTGGAGCTCATTTCCTTGTACGTACTTTCGGTGCAAAGTAGTATGATGTGAAATGTGATGTTTCTTCCGTCAAACTTCCCGCAACAATAGATACTTCAACTCTTGCCAGGTTTTTGGCTTTTCCTTTCAAAGTTTTCATGTCCCTTTCATACTGATACATCCATCCATAATGCACAGGTCCACGAAGTAATGCCTCATACGGGAGGTGGACAACTAGGTGTTCCATGACGTCGAAAAAAGTAGGCGGAAATATTTTCTCCAAGTTGCAGATTAAGACGGCGATGTTTTCATGAAGTTGTTGGACAACTTCCACTTTGAGAGTGTGGGTGCTCAGATCTCTAAAAAATGCTCCAATTCCTTATATATTACAAAAAAAAAATTATCCACATTAGTATATATATATAAAAATAAATAAATTAATCATATCATCGTATTATATTAATTAATTAATTAATTACTTGAAAGTGCTTCATGTACTTTTGCCGGTAGTAGCTCCGCAAATGCAAACAGAAGTAGTCGATGCATAAAGACATGACAATCATGGCTCTTCATCCCGGAAAACTTTTGCCTTTCTCAACACATATTGAGAGATTTGAAACATACCCATCAGGGAACTTCACTTCTGAAGCCACCCAGTTGAACAACGCAGACTTTTTTTCTGATGACAATCTGTATATTGGAACTGGAACTTGCCCATTGCTTTTTATATGTAGCTCAGTTCTTGAGCAGATATCGGGTAAGTCCAATCTTGATTTTATGTTGTCTTTCGTCTTCCCTGGGACATTCAATATAGTGTTCACAATGTTCTCAAAAAAGTTCTTCTCTATAAGCATCACATCGAGGTTGTGGCGCAAAAGAAGATCTTTCCAATATGGAAATTCCAAAAATATATTCTTTTTGTGCCAATTGTGCTGAACACCATAGGAATCAAGCATATTACTGGGAACATGCCAATTCCCACCACGAGGAGCTGTTTCTAGAGCACCGTAGTAATCGATTTGCGCTTCGATTTGTTCTCCATTTAAATATGGAGGAGGAGTGTCTCTGACAACCCTTTTGTGCCTGAAAATTTTCTTGTTTCTTCGGTATGGGTGGTAAACGGGAAGAAATCGACGGTGACAATCGAACCAACTAGTCTTCATACCATGCTTCAACTGAAACGCATCTGTCATTCCATTACAATATGGACAAGCTAATCTCCCATGTGTAGTCCACCCAGACAACATCCCGTATGTAGGAAAGTCACTTATGGTCCAAAAAAACATCGCTCGCATCGTAAAGTTTGTTTTCGTTGAACAATCATATGTGCTCACCCATGTTGACCACAAATCTTTCAACTCTTTTATCAGTGGTTGTAGAAAAACGTCGAAAGATCTTTTTGGATGTTTTGGACCAGGTATTAATATGGTCATGAATAGAAACTCTTGTCGCATGCACATCTCCGGTGGTAGGTTATACGGTGTAAGAAAGACCAGCTATAATGAATATTGCCTCCCAGACATTCCAAATGGACTAAATCCATCAGTGCATAATCCAAGATACACATTCCGGCTATTGCTAGCGAAATGTGGATGTACATTGTTAAAATGTTTCCAGGCTCTTGCATCCGATGGATGAGTCATCTCTCCATCCATCTGAGTATGCTCGGCGTGCCATCTCATCCCTCCAGCAGTCTCCTTAGATTGGTACAATCTTTTTAATCTGTCTGTGATTGGTAGGTACCACATCCTTTGCTACGGTACCCTATTACGCCCTAGACCTTGCAGTTTGAATCGTGGCTTCTTACAAAATCGACATTCTTCTAACTTCTCATCATCTCCCTAGTAAATCATGCAGTTGTCGATGCAAACGTCTATCATCTTCGAGGGCAACCCAATACTATATATCAATTTTTGAGTCTGATAATAAGATTCAGCAGACACATTGTCTTCTGATAAATACTCTTTAAACAAGTCTGCCCATGCATCCATACAATTTTCAGGTAGGTTGTGATCAGTTTTAATACTCATTATTCTAGCAGCCAACGAAAATTTAGACAGACCTTCTCTACAACCACTGTAAATTGGCTCATTCGCAGCTTCTAACATTTCATAAAACTTTTTTGCATCTAAGTTAGGTTCTTCAACTTCATCATCATCATGAGTTACAAATGCATCACCTACTATATCATGAACCCTATCACAATCTACCATTAGTTCCTCTTGGTGATGATAGCTATTTTCATTACGCAAATGATCAACCGGTTCAACCTGAAAATTGCTACCTTCATTCCTACAACCAGCATCGTCTTCTCCATGTTGATACCAAATATAATAATATGGCATAAACTTTTAACGAAAAATTTCTTGAAATAATATAAGTTGGATCAAGTTTTTAAAAATACACTCGATCAAGAATACACTGATATTTGACTTTAAGGTTTAATATTTAGGGGCTGATTAATTTATCAATTTTATAAATAATTCTTAAACATTTAGTAAACATTTATAAATGATTTAGGAGAATTAATTAAGTTTTTTCTTTTTATCACAAACTTAAGTTATTTATGAAAATAGTGATTCTTTAAAAGTAAATTTAAAAAAATGATATCAAATTTGTGATAATATTTATCTTCATATTTAACATAAATATTAAATTATAGAATTTAAATATATTTTCATATACACTCCAATAAAACAGAAAAATTATTTTCATGTTTTAAAGAGCATACCATAATCAAATATATGTATTTAAAATATCAATAAAACATCAATTATATATAAAGAGCATATATGTATATATTCTGTCAACTCAAATATATTATAATAGATATAAAATATTGATCATATTGTTTATTTCAGTGTAGTAAAAGGAGCGTTTCTATTTATTTATATATTTGACTTCAAGTGTTATTATAAAAGATATTATCCTCAATTAACTTCTGTTTCTTATGAATTAGATACTGCTTTATTTTTTTCTATATTAAAAAGGTTAAAATGATATACTTCTATATTAAAAGAAGATAAGCTTTCTTTGTTTCTTTATAAGAAAATATTTCTATCTTAAACTTTTCTATTAAGAAAAAAACAGAAAATATATACATATTAGAAATGGTCTAAGGATATCTCCAACAATGACACTAAATATGGTGTTAAAATTACACCAGATTTGGTGTTTTGGTGTCAAAATTTATTTGTCATCTCCAACAACAACACTACATTTTACACCAAAAATAATATTATATATTATTTTATTTTCAGTTTTAATACTTTGTAATTGATAAATAATTATTCTATCACATTTATCTATTATATTTGTTAAATTTTGTAGTTTTATGTTTAAAAAAATTATTTACATTTATATTTTAGTTTACCAATATTATATCTTATGTATTTACTCTATATAAAATATTATGTATACTCAAAATTAAAAATTATTAGCAAGGAAAATTAGATAACGAAATAATATATTTATATTAATATTTTGTATTAGTTAGTAATACAAGTTGAACTATTTATAAAATAAAAGTATTATTTTAATGTTTGATAAATTTAATAGTATTACATAAACTAATTAAATTTATCTTATAGTATTGATTTCAATATTCTATAAAAAATTAATTAAAAATTTATACTTTTAAGAGTAAAAAATAAAAATTCTATGATTTTTATTTTTTAAATGTGACGTAATTAAAATACTTATTTGTGATTTATTAATAGAAAAAAAACTTAATTATAAAAATACAAATAATATATTATATTTTGAATTAATTAATAATATTTATTGGAGTATATTATTAAGTGAAATATAATACAAATATGTATTTTAAGATTTGATGTGATGAATAGTATTACACTAAATTTGTTGTAATACTATTCATATTACACCAAATTTGGTAGAATAATGTCAAGTTTAATGTCTTGTTAGAAATGAATTTATACCAAATTTAGTGTTTTGATGTCATTGTCAGAGATGGCCTAAGCAAAATAGACCCACAAGCCGGAATTAAATTAACAGTTTCTTCTGAAGAATAATCAAAATTATAAATAAATTCTTATAAAGTTTTTAACTATAAATCCCTTCCTCCTCCGATCGAATCAGAGAGCTCCCTCCCCCCTTTCTCATATCAAAATCGGCTTCGATTTTTTTTTTTAATAACTCGCTGCCGAATTTGCGAAACTTATTCAATCTCACTTCAAAACTCGACAACTTTTGAAACTTGGTATTTGATGGGTCGTCGGATTTGAATATTCTCCTCCGCCCACGAGAGTTGAAATTCCGTTTTGGGGGGGTGGGGATTAACTAACGGGTCTTATTAGGGTTCTTCTTCTAGAGACAAAAAGATGAGCGTTGCGAAATCACAGGTGTGGCAGCCATGCAAGAAGAAGCGATCCTGAAGAAGAAGAGATCTATCTCTACCCTCCACCAACCAATCTAACAATCAATCAATCAAGATGATGGCTTCTCGAGCTACACCTTCGCGGTCGACTCCTTCTCGATCGACAACTTCTTCAGGGACACGTGTCGGTAAGTACGAGCTTGGGAAGACTTTGGGGGAAGGAACCTTCGCAAAGGTCAAGTTCGCTAGGAACGTTGAGAATGGAGAGAGTGTTGCCATTAAAGTCATTGATAAAGAGAAAGTCTTGAAAACCAAAATGATCGCTCAGGTTTTTATTATATATATATCTCAATCAATCCCTCTGCTCTTGGACTTGTGTTTTGACTTGTGTTTTTTTTTCTTCTGTCTCTGATTAGATCAAGCGTGAGATTTCGACAATGAAACTCATTAAGCACCCTAATGTCATCCGTATGTATGAGGTTTTGGTCTTTTAACTCTCTTCTTCCTTATTACTCGGTTGCTTACATGTTTGGAATCAAGAAAGCTTAAGTTTTTCCTTGTGGGTTTCCGTTTGATGTTAGGGAACATAAGTGGTCCCTCCCTGAAATATAATAGTATTATTCTATGTGTTGTTATTGATTCTCTCTTTCTTCTTTCAGGTGATGGCTAGCAAAACTAAGATCTACTTTGTTTTGGAATTCGTTACTGGTGGAGAGCTTTTCGATAAAATTGTAAGATTTCTCAACTTCATTGAAGATGTTGTTTATGAATGAGATCACGAATTAACAAGTAACTATTATTCTTAATAGTCAAGTAGTGGGAGGTTGAAGGAAGATGAGGCCAGGAAGTACTTTCAGCAGCTTATTAATGCCGTGGACTATTGTCATAGCAGAGGAGTTTATCATAGAGACCTTAAGGTTTGCCAATCTTCTTTTGTGGTTTTGTGATTGTATCAAGAGTTATATATGTATGGTTCAATTTGTTAAAACCAAGTTGCCATTTTCTGGTTGTAGCCAGAGAATTTGCTCTTGGATGCAAATGGTGTTCTGAAAGTGTCTGATTTTGGATTGAGTGCTCTACCTCAGCAAGTCCGGGTGAGCATCTATCATGTTATTTTGATGTTAAATGTCATAACGTGAGAATACAGCTACAATGGTCTCTCAAGGTTAAAGTTTTCTATTATCATCAAAGCTGATTTTTGTGACCTTTCTTCTTTAGGAGGATGGTTTACTTCACACAACATGTGGAACTCCCAATTATGTTGCTCCGGAGGTAAATATCTATTGACACAATTGTCTTGATCTTTCCTGGTTTCATCTATTTCTCTCTCTCTAGGTAATCAACAACAAAGGTTACGATGGAGCTAAGGCTGATTTGTGGTCTTGTGGTGTGATTCTCTTTGTCTTAATGGCTGGCTATTTACCTTTTGAAGATTCCAACTTAACCTCGTTATATAAAAAGGTGATATGCTATGCTATGCTTTTCCTTTTTTCCTTCTCTGATGAATATTCAAGTAGCATAAAGCTATAAGAGTCTTATTTCTTCATGATTACAGATTTTCAAAGCGGAATTTACCTGCCCTCCCTGGTTCTCTGCAAGTGCTAAGAAGCTAATCAAAAGGATTCTGGATCCCAATCCAGCAACGGTATATCTCTCTTACTCTTCTTTTGTTGTTGAGGAGGTTTCCTTTGTTCTTTGCCGTTAGAAGAGGCAAGGGCTTCTATTGGTTTTGAGTTAAAAGAGACTAATGTTATTTAAATATTGGACAGAGGATTACATTTGCTGAAGTCATTGAAAATGAGTGGTTTAAAAAAGGGTATAAAGCACCCAAATTTGAAAACGCCAACGTCAGCCTTGATGATGTTGATGCTATATTTGATGATCTAGGGGTAAGGCTTTTGTTCTTATTTGATTTGTTATTTTTTTATGAACTTTGGATGTTTGCTTAGCTTGTTTATGTTGGTTAATAGGATTCTAAGAATCTTGTTGTGGAGAGGCGAGCAGAAGGACCTAAAACACCAGTAACTATGAATGCTTTTGAGCTCATCTCAACATCCCAAGGTCTCAATCTTGGTTCACTTTTCGAAAAGCAAACGGTACAGATTTATAATAAAAAAAAAACATTTGTTTTGTGGTAGGTATTCTTAGTGATAAGCATCCTGTTGTTTCAGGGGCTTGTTAAACGAAAAACTCAGTTTACCTCCAAATGTCCGGCTAATGACATAGTCACCAAAATTGAGGCGGCAGCAGCACCTATGGGCTTTGATGTCAAGAAAAATAACTACAAGGTTGGATTCCCCTTTACATATTCACAAACGGTGCTGTGAAAATTGTATTTATTCATTAGGTACTTGTGATTACACTCTTATAGCATTTCTTGACTCATCCAGATGAAGCTAATAGGAGAGAAATCAGGCCGCAAGGGACAGTTAGCAGTCACAACTGAGGCTAGTTTTCTTAGTGATTTAATAACCCTTTTGTATGATGTCTCTCCGTGTTGGATGAGCTTTAATCTCTCCGTGTTGGATGAGCTTTAATCTCAAGCTAATTGACATATATATTCAGGTTTTTCAAGTTGCTCCATCGCTTTATATGGTTGAAATGCGAAAATCAGGGGGTGACACCTTGGAGTTCCACAAGGTATGCAAGGCTTGTGTTACATCTTAATCTCGTGGGTTTGGTTGTGAACAAGTTGGTAATCTTTTGCTTCATTTTCCTTGTCGTGTTTTAGTTTTACAAGAACCTTACCACGGGTCTTAAGGACATTGTTTGGAAAACAATCGACGAAGAGAAAGAGGAAGGAACCGAAGGTAAGCATCTTCATTGACATAATCTGTTTGATAGCCTAAAAAGATGGAACAACAACACAAACCATGTTTTGTTTCAGGTGGCATCAATGGTGCAGTGGTCGCTTCTTGATACCGGACAATTGTGAAGCAGTTTGCATATGCTTTTATTATAGATTTTTGTTCTTTATAAATTGCTATGGTACTTGGGTTTGCGAGTGGTTTTGAAGTTATACAAAAGGAAGCGTCAAAAAAAGTGGAGCAAAGCTGAAAGTTTGAAACTATATTATTTAGTGGGAATTTTGATAAATTTTTATAAAATCTTTGTTTGATTCCATGGAATGTTGTGAATATCATATGCGTGTATCCTAGCTTGAAAGTGAAAGCTCTTTCTACTTATTTGGATATTTTTAAGAATCGCTTTTGCGCCATTTCTTCGAGTTTTCACTTTTGCAAGTGAGGTTCGATGGATACCTAATTGCCATATAAGTAAAAACAAGAAAGAAAGAAACGAATACTTTTTGTCTGAATTTGCCTACGAGCCGGTCACTGTACAAGTAAATCGTCACATGTCTATGACCCACAAGTCCCATTATCTATACCCTGTCTGCTTCGCTACGTTTAATATAATACCATAAGGAACCTTAACCAATAAGCGGTAAAAACATATGTAAGGTTCTTTACTACACCCCAGAGATTTGTTATCCTAAATTATTTGATCAAATACGATTTTCTGACACTCGATTCGATCTTAACTGTTTCCTCTGTGCTACCCTCACAGCCGTTAATACTTAGACAAGCAATGTTATATCCTCCATATGAAATTCATCTGATTTCTGACCGACTCTCAGCAGATATACAACCGCTATATTATGGTTATATATCTTTGGAAACCTATTGGTTTACGTAACATTCAAAAATCTGTATCAACAAATTTCTAACAAGAAATAAGTTATTGCCTAACCAAACTAGGAAAACCATTGGTTTACAATGCAAACTAGGAAATCGAATCATGAACGTATGATGAAAAAATAAGGGTAAAACAAACAGTTTGTTATTCGGTGTGAAGATATGCAAACTAATAAATAAGTTATTGACTAAGTAATACCGACTAATGTATTCATGCGCGCCTATTGAAACATGCAGAACGAACGAGATCTACTTAAGAATTTTGTGACCAAGAGTTATAACAAAACATAGTTGGTATTAAGTTAATGTGTACTATATAATTTAACCTGGATCATGACTCATGGTACTTGTCAGTGTCCTCAAGCACTCTCCTAAGTTGTGCGTATGCAAGAGACGAAATAAAGGGTTTAGGATTTTTAATATATCTGAGTGAACTCAGTTTCCCAGCATCAGCAATATATACACCACATATAGATAAACATAATATATTCATAAGTTAACGTTGATAATACTAACTTAGCCATTGATTCTTAGAAACAGCTTTTTTACTCTTTCAAAACGATATTTTGAAGAAGATATTTAATGAAGCTCTATATATATTGTAGACACTAAACATCAGGCAAGCTGACAATAGGTTGGGAGAGCGATCTAAAGATAAGATGGTAACCTAACTAATGTTTTTAGCTTTTGTACAAAACATATTATATCTTTACACATCCGAGAAAAACAGGAAGAATATTGAGGACAATGAAAACAAAAACTTTTGGATATGTTCGACATAAAATGTTTTCGTGATTTTATGTTTTTTTAAAAAGAAGTTTTTAATCCAATATAGATGTTGCTTACTCTGTATCTATTATCAAAAACAAAAATAATTTCATTTGTTTTTCTTTTCTTATCCAGGTTTCTTTTCGTTTTCACGCATTAATTTGTTTTTAAGGGTAATTTTGTGGTATAACTATTATACAAAAAAAATTAACAATATTTCCATGATTTGAGAATTGTGTCAATTAAACACATAAATAGACATTTCAGTCCTATGTAATGCATGAGCATTTGTATGTTACACACAAAAATTAGATACCATTCTATTTATAATGATGATATAGAATAGATTATTTCAAACAAATAAAAATTATAGAGAAATTTTTTAATTTCTTCAGTATTTTTTTTTGTAACGTTCAATGCAATTTAAAAAATGTCTAATATGAAATAACATATTAATTCGTAGAACATATGCTTAAATTTATAGTATAACATTTTTAAAAGCATACTTGATTGATATATATTACAAATTTAAAACATTTGTTATTCTATATTTGATGGTAATATAATATACTATATGAAAGAGAGAATGTATAGTTACAAATTTATTTATACGATCGTAAATAGAATCGATTACAACAATATGTTATTTAAACACTACATATTAGAAAAAGAGAAAAAAAAAAAGAATGAAAGAGACAGTGAAAAAAAAAGAGATACTAACAAACATGCAATGATGATGGACAATAATTAAATATAAAGATTAGGAAGAGAGATATATAGAAAAATGAAAGAAAGAAAGAAAGATTAATGTATCATAACAATTTTATTCTATGTTACATAAATATAATATACACAGTCTTATATAATTGTACATGTTCAATTTATTAATATATGTTAGTTTTACAAAATTTAAGATATTTTATATACAAAAAAATCTATGTTTTTTATAGATATCTAAAAATTTCAAATAAGTACTTTTTAAACTTATAAAGTTAATTAAAAGTAAGAGGTGAAAATAAGAAAATATAATACAGAAATTAATACATAAATATCATAGCCTAACGAATACTGTGATTATATTGTTTTTTTTTTTGTTTATTATGTGCATGTGGCTAAAATTCTCGTTCTTTAATATAGTTTTCGAACATTTTGTTGTATATAAGAACATTGACGATGGAAGACCCAAATGCAACACATGGGATGATGGGAATGTTCATATGACTATAGAATTATTACAAAAAAAAAAGAAAACAAACTCTCATTTTCCTTTTCCTTATTCTTCATTATATAATAAGTGATGATTCTGAACATCTCCGGTTTACTACAAACCAAAAAGTGATTTGCGCTTTCCGGTTTAGCTTGAGAGTCCTTCATTTGTTACGTACACAGCCCATGCTTCCTACAATTCCACAATATCAGCTAAGAGTTAGCGTCCAAAACAAGAACCAAAGCTTACAGGCTGAACCAATCTCGGTAATTGTTCGGTTTAAGTACCTGAAGAATGGAGAATACTCTGCTGGCGACAGACTTCTGAAGAGGTGAAGTTCCACCTCTCTGTTGAAGTTTATCAGGATGTAAACAAAGCCTAGCTTTTTGGTAAGCTTTCTTCACTTGTGATCCATCTCTAAGATTTGCCAAAGGTATCGCCTGCCAATTGCTATTTGACCACAAAACCTGAATAAGAAAATCCGGTTTGTTCAGTCAGAATCAGTATCCGGTTTACTTGGAGTGAGACACATTAACCAATTAGAAAATCTCTTTACGTACATGATGTAAAGTTGAGAGGAGGAGTCTTATGTTGGTTTCTTTTCCGGTTAACCAGACTCTTATCTCTTCATCTTTCATCTCCATCTCCATCTGCAATTTATATCTAATCAGATTTTTAATCCACTGAGAAGTGACTTTAAATGTTAACTACTACACAAACCTCTTCTTCTGATTTGGCTTCTTCTTCTTGGCTTCTTCTGGAATACATAAAGTCTTCTTGTGTATGCTTTGTTTCTGGACGTTGAGATCTCTCTCTAGCCCATGCTATTGCTTCATCCATGTCGTTCGAGTCCGAGTTCCCTCCTCCTCCACTTCCTCCTTCTCTGTTTCGATCAAACCGGTCTGAGTTTATTTCGATTACGTAAGAGCTCATCTCATCCTCATCATCTTCTTGTTCTACTTTATAGTCTCTCTGTTTTTCCTCTGTTTCATCTAAAGAAGACACAGGGGAAGATGCCGGAGAGCTCGGTCCTAAATCCTCCATTTTCCTGAAGCTCATGGTCTCCGGCGAGGATCTTCGAGAGCCGCCGAAGTGTGGGTTTTTGCAATAAAAATTGGGTTTTTCCGGTGTGTTATCGTTACCGGCAAAAGATGTCGGAAACGCCGGGAAACTCTGTTTCTTCGATTCCCGCTTATGACTTCTTGACGGAACGTTTAACGGTCTACAGAAAAAAAAAAAACAGAGCATGTCAAAAATTACGAAACTGACCTTGTAAGTTGGCTCCTGCGTTAACTGATATTGAGGGTACAACTGTAAATTTCTACTCACCTGAGTCTAGAAGTAAAAGAAGATATTCCGGCATCATCGCCGGAAGTCCCCGCCGGTGGTGGCGGATAATGAGGACTGACCTCCTCCGAAGTGAGCATCGACGAGGAATTCGACCTCGATTTAGCCACCGGACTCTGCTTCTTGGATCCCTCCTTCGCCGTCCCACCGCGACCGCCGAACACGCCGTCGTAAAATCCATCTCCGCCGGACGGAATCCTAAACGCCGGTAAGTTTCTGCCGTGAGATTTAGACGACGGAAGAGTGCCACCGGAGGAAATCCCAGGTGGTCGGAAAATCTCGTCGTAGAAGCAGTCGGAGCGGGAAAAGTCGCCGGAGAATTTTCGGGTTAGGACGCTACGCGGCGGTCCTCCGAAAACATCGGCGAAGTCTTCGGCGTTGATGCGAGCGTCCATGGATCTTCGAGCAATGGAGAAGAAGGGATCAATGTTTAAACCCATCTTCATACGCCACGACTCGTCCATTTCGCCGGTGAGATCTCTTTTGTATATTCTCTCCGGTCACTTAAATTGTTAAAAGAGAAGTAAAGGATTGTGTTGTGAATGTACACTAACGTACACGTATATATAGTACTCAGCGAAATGAAGAAAGTTTTTTTTTTTTTTTTAAATTTATTACTCGTGTGAGTTTTATTCGTTTTCAACTCTTATTCTACTGTCTTGAGGAAAAATGGTTATTAATTTACTATGATACTAGCTGAATTAAATTTGATAAAATGTTGGGAAATCCGCGAATATATAAGGATAATATTGTATATTTTATGGTTGATCCAAACTAAGTATTTTATATGATTAATATTATTTTATATATGTATGTTAGAACATTTCCATATCCACTTTATAATTTATTTTATTTTATTTAAAAATAAAGTGAAAAATGAAGTAATGAATAAAAAATACAAATATTAATTACTCTATTTATAAAGTAATATTTTGTTTTTTGTTCATCACACTATTTTCTATTCCATTTTAAAATATATTATAGAGTGGAGAATGTATTTCCTATTCCATTTAAAATAAATTATAGAGTGGAGAATGATGAAGATGGAAATGCCCTTTGATATCATTGTTTTCTCTTTCTCGTTCAAGAATTTAATACCTTTTTCTTAGTTGTTCAACTACAACACTGTTTTCAATCATACATCATAACTACTCATACATTATGATTTTAATGGTGTTTATAAAAATGAAACCGAATGATTGAATGCATAGTAATACCGTACTATGAAAAACAAACGATTTGAAACGTTAAGTATTGGAGAATTTACGAACGTCTGTCTATGATCGGGATAATCTGAAATAATGAATCTTGTGATTTAGGCTAATTAATTAGTACATGAAACAAAAATTACTTTTACATTATCGAATGATTTGAGAAAGGGGAAAAGGGTTTGGTATAAAGATATTGAATGTCATGATTTTATTAGAAGTTCTGTACAATATATAGGAGATACAAGAGTGGAGAAGAAGCAAGAAGTTACTACAGAATATACACATATATAGGAAGTTTTTTTTATATAAGGATTGTCTTTAAAAAATAGAATAGCCCTTGGCTGAAAAAAAAAGATGTGTTTGACATGGACCTTAATCCCATGATTGATCCGAACCATTTTTATTAATACTGAGATAGTTTACCAGAGCAACTTTGTTTTAAACCCTTAGACTACTGTGTAAAAGAAAAAAAATAGTTTTAATTTGGCATATTTCAAGAAGGTTTTACTGAAATGATTCTGAGATGATTTTTACATGTATATATACATACACGTATACTTTATTGTTGTTTCTTTGGCACTTGAACACAGAGGCGACCCTTGATAGAAGCAAATGAAGCATATGCTTGCGGCCACAAATATATTAACTATAAAACCGGCCAAATTATTCTTAAAAATGTCAATGGTCTAGTGGTTTATTGTCCATTGTAAGTTTGTAACTATGTGAGAGGCTGGGTTCTGAGATGACTTAAAAAAGGACCAATTAAAAAATGACTGGCTGAACTAAAAAAGGTTAGCATTGATCACAAATATTTTTAATGTGAGATTTTTTCTATTTTTAGTAATTTATGGTTGTTTTAAAAAATTCAAAATATAATATATAAGAAAAAAACCTATTTTTTATTATGCAATTAATGTGATTATCTATTTATTTTTAATAATAGTAGATTAAATAAAAAGTAAAGAGGACAAAAAGTTGTTATCAAATCTTTATTATTAATAATCATTAATTGTGGTATATATATAAATCGTATTAAGTAATTCTGTTGCTTCTGTTTAAGGAATGAATAAAGAATATTTTTTTGTACACTACTAATTAAATATAATAGTTAGTTTAATAATAATATAACATATGTTTAGCTGAACCAAATAATTCTTAAAATCATTTTCATTGTGACACGTGGTTACAAAAAATGTTATAATTCTCCAAGATTAATATATAAGGGATACTAGGCTGATAAGAATTATATATAAAATTATTTTATGTCTTATTCTTTATTTTTTTTTATATATTATAAAATAATAAATATATATTCAATAATTAAAAAACTGTTACTCTTATATATACAATTAATTTAGCGAGCACTCTAATTTAAATAAACATTTTTTTTATTTACAATCACTTTATAAATTAGTAAATCTAATTAAGAAAAGTACAAATATATTATACTTTTAATTTAGATATCTAATCAATGAAGTACCACACTTACATGGTTTTATGACCATTTGTATATTCTTATAATAAAAATAAAAACATTGATAACATCATTTTTAATGTGAGAGATTTAATATTTACAGTAATTTACAATTGTTTAAAAAGTTTAAATTCAAAGTTTGTCGCTAAAGTATTAAATTCTCAATACTTGTTCAATGCAACTTTGGAATTAAATACTTATGTATTTTCAAATGGTATTTAGTTTAATTTAAAAATCACTAAAAATATATATATACATCTAATTTAAATATCTATTAAATGATATTTCTTACTCATTAGTTATATAATTGTTTGTATTGTGCTATAACAAAAAAAATTAAACTATTAATCAAAAATATTATAAATAAAAATTTTAAATTTTTATTAATTTATTGTCGTTTTCAAAAATTCAAAATATAACATATAGAAAAAATCTAATTTTTGTTATATATTTAATTTTATTGTTTAATTTATTTTCACAATATAAATTTAACAAAAAGAATAGAGGCTATACAATTTTTTATCAAATCTTTCATATTTAAATCATTAATTTTCATATATATATATGAGATAATTCTGTAAATTTTATTTAAGGAAATAATGATTAGCATTAATAATAGTTTTATGCTTAGTTTAATAAAAATATATTATATGTTTATATGGACCAACATTTTTTTCTAGTAAATTTGAGAAGAATTTTCATGATGACACATGGCTACAAAAACATGTTGTAATGTTTCTCAATTAATATGTAAAAGGATAAATAAGAGAAAATTTGTAAATCATAAGCCTTCAGTCAAAAAAAAAATCTGTAAATCATGAATGTAAAAATATTAGGTTTTCGAAGTTTTGGTCACCAGTTGACATAGGATATTGCCACTTGGAGCGAGTCCCTACTCTAAAAGACATGATTTAATGGTTTCCCTTTTGTGTTAGCTGTATAATTGATTTTTTCTTTATTTATTCTTCAAAATGTTTAATTCATAACTTTAGATCGTCATTTATGTTTGGGTGATAGTGGTCCTAGTGGAGAATAAAACCAAAACCGAATCTCATATGTTAAGCTTAAAGTGTTTTCAGTATCTTACATTGCAATATATCAGATGCTTATAAAATATCTTATGATATTTATAGATCCATATCATGTGTTTCGTTTGTTGTATTGCCAAAACTACTCACAAAGACTGAAATATTTTTGATTTACTTACGTTCAATGTTTATATATTGATATAGATATATAGTGTAACAATATGCATACAGCTGTACAACTGGAAGAGGAGATAGTTCTACGTCTCAAATTTATATATACTATAATAAAAATTTCTAATAAAAACTCGAATATATTTTTGTTTAAATAAAATTCTGTAAACCAACTTCTGACAAAAACAATCCAATTCTTATACAATAATCTTAGACAATGTGACATGTCCAGTGACGCATATGGTTTGTCTATAGTTCTTTTGTTGTGAAAAATATTGTTAGAAACTTAAAATATTGTTAGTAAACCGTTTAACTGATGACACTCACTCCCTACTCCTAATACGCTACGGAATGGATTATACAAAATTCTCTCTATTGTTAATATGATATTGAAGAGAAGTGGGTGCAGGAATGACATATACCCTTTGGAGGGGACAATGCATGCTATTATTTGATGTCAATGAACTTTCTTCCCTACCAAAAAACCATACCCTTCATAGTTCTTACTTTCCAACACATGCTTATCATTATTACAACTTAATTATTAAGAACGATTGTTAGTTTCATTTTCTATAACTGATGTCCCCGAACGTACAGATCATTAAATCATCGTTTTATATAAGTGATGTCCAGTTTTTATTTTATTTCATCTGTACGCAATTGTTTTGGTATATTGGGCATTAGGTTATTCAATTAATAGTTACAAATTGTTAATCATCGCCTAAGATGAGTTACTAAGCATACCTTAAGCTCAATCTACATACTTCAAGGGATACACTAATTGCTAACATTACTATTGAGTCATGACTGTTAATAACTAATAAATAATAAGAAAAATACTAGTCACTGTGGAAGACATTCTATTTTGGGGCTAGCATATTGTGGAAACTTATGATTGTTGTTGTAGTTATTTTTGGTAAATATTGTTGTTATAGTTTTATATTACCTGACGGCTACTTACTGAATTTGTTGGGATCAAATCAACGGAGTTTATATACAAAGTATGCATATCAATTTTAGTCCCAAATCACCAAGCAATTGTTAATTGTGGACTTATTGGTTAATATTGTTAGTTTTTGAAAAATAATTAATAATTAAGTAGAGAACACAAAGAGAGAGAGTATAATAAAGAAAACGGAACAAGCCTTGATTTAGTTTAGAACATGCATCAGATTCAGACCATGGTATAGGAACATCACAGGTAAAATGCAGACCAGGTGGTCATGAAAGGAGACAACTTTATCTTAGTTAAACAATATCTGAATAAAATACAATAAAGTCATATACAAAAACAATCATTGTTATAAGATTTGCTCCCTTAAGAATCGAGTTAGATTATATATAAAAATCAAGACAAACTAAAACAGATAAACTAAGGAATGTTCAGTGATCTAAAAAGGCATAAAGGAAATTCCTTAATACTTAGCTGTTCCAAGAATGTGTGAGCGCTGTAATGCTATGTGGCAAAGATGCTGCCTCTAAGTTATCAAAGAGCAAATCTTTGTTTTGATATTTTGACGATCAGATCACTTTTTATAAGGATTTGAATCTGACTGGTCTACCATTGCCAAAAACATAAATTGACGATAAACGATCAAAATGAGTTCCATACGTAGTAATGAGATTC